ATGACCACAACAAACTTGTTTCTTCCCAAGGAATACTCTTAATTTTTAGCTTTCAAAACTGATATTTTCAACTGTCTCATATATTTCGCTTATTCCTCTGGAATTAGAAGTAAAAGAAAACACTGATTAGGGCAATATGTTTATATTATAGATACTACTTAAGTTTGTACAACACCCACATGATTTACAATCAGAAGGAATAATGAACAAATTAAGTGTATACAACAAGGTAAATAAGGTAGTTGAAATGTGACAATTAACTTTGTCCTCATCATATCCTGCATTGACTTCTGATTAGATAGCTAATTCACAAATAATAGTGTAGAAAATAAACATTGACTGGAGAAATATTTCTATGGCATTCATTGTTCAAAATATGACATTATATTTAATGATGAATACCAGGTGAGACTTCGATATATTTTATGTTGGACAATGAACATATTTATCAGTTGTCCTTCAAAGAGTTTCATAGTGAGTTTCATCCAAATTAGAATGAACAATTAATATATTTTATAAAGATATTTCAGTGAAATGATAATCATGTTTTATTTGGAGATAGTATTTATTTCCTTAAAATTGATTTTCTTCGTAAACCATTTTTGTAAAAACAGTAAGACATAATTTGTTTGAATAGTGTCATATATTTGTACGACATATTTTGAATAATCTCATCATATAGGTAATTGTTATAATTTCGGAAAGTTGTACAGAGATAATATGTGAGAATACAAAAAGACGTCAAGTAAAAATTCAACGAATATGAGCAGACGATAGTCTAAAAGACAACTCAAGAATACTGGATATTCTGAAGAATAACCATCTATCAATACTTATTGGTTGGTACAAAGTTGGTAGAGCATCAAAATTAGCTCTTCACTTTGTTCCAAAGCAAGATGTCAAGTCTCTGTACAAATATAACTGTCATGGCGCAATTCTTAAATGGGAATTGAATGTCGTTATTGGAAGGACATACTACATACCAAGTTAATTAGAAACAAACAGGCATGTGTACTCTCCAAAACTTTTACAGCATGTGTACAATAGTGTCACATCCCATCACTTCTACCAACTAAAATACACCTGTAGTGACACATATATAGGAAGACCTCACAAGTCCATGCAAGTAAGAGCACTGGAGCATATTCTAAGAAGGGCTTCAAAAGCAAATCAGTTAATCTAAACCTATAAACTTTGGTAGTACATGTCAAAGCTCTTCTATTGGTAAACATACCATTGATACAGGTCACGAGATTATAGTCTCTATATCCCTTAGACGTGTGCACAAAACCTGATGAAGACGCACCCTCAAATCTGTCGAAATCTAAGGAATTAGGAAGTTTAGGCCACCCTTATTTGTTACCGCATCAAACCTTCCTTGGTAAAATTCACTTCAGAAACCAAGGTCAATGTACTATAATTTTCGCACTATTGATTTCCATTAGTATTTTCATCTTCATTCTTATCTTCCTACTTGGTGTCTCATTTTCTCACTCCTTATCTCACTATAATGTTTCACGTAAATACCTATGACAAGTATGTGATCAGACTGCTCGAAATGTGTTGCAAAACAAATTGCGCAACTCAGACAAATTACTTCACTGTATTCATTGCTTTTTATAACTTGTTCAACGGATATTGAAAATTGTTACTGCTTCGTTAAATTTGATAATTTATTTATCTAACAAAAACTCTCAGTCAATAACACATGATAATCTGATTGACAACCAATTAGTCAGTGTTTTTGGTAAGTACAACCAGCTTTTTATTGGTACAAACGAGTATTTTTCGTCACAATGTGTATTATAACAGAATAGGAAAGTTGTACACTGATTTTCTAAATGCACTACTCATATGAAGTTTTCTGACATAAAACAACCACTAATTCGCTTCGATTTACTGTTTCGGTTACCAAGGTCCCTTGAGTGAAACTTGATTGTGAAAGTTTGACCTCCTTAAAATATATTGTGCTATAGTACACTTATTAGTGGTTAGTGTATACATAGACTTCAACTGAAAGCAAGGTTGGCCAACAACTTCTGGGAGGATTTAGATTTAGCTACTTTGTGATTTATTCAGAAAACTTAACACTGATCACAAAATACCTGCTAAATTATTTGATAAAATACATTTGTCAGTCATTGTTAAGTGCTGATTGGATTCTACGCATCAAGTTTTCGTTTGACTTCAAGATTAGATTACGTAGCGTTGTGGCTCACCAAAGAACATTCTTCAACAAATCAATATTTACTTTGCAGTCTGCTTCATACCCAGTAGTGGAATCTAGGACGCGCACTTCATCCTATGTGGTACTCTTCAGTTGAATACACCTTTACCCCAACGAGTGATGTCGTTCCCACTGAAAGTCGGACCCAGTACCCATCGCTTCAAACGCCAAAGCGTTATCCACTAGGCCACATGGGCATGAGGGGGCATCTCTCATGCAACAGGTATGAAACAAAAAACTAAAATCCAGATTACTTCAAAAAAGAATTTAGGTTGACAACCAAGTGAAAAATAATCAAAAGTAATAAAGGTTCACTTGACTACTAGGAATAAAACGCTAATAATCACTACCTTCACCCAGAAGCTTAGACAAATATTCCATCTTAATGTATCTATTAAAAGAACCATTTCTTATACTACTAGTCCTAAATGCGGTTAATAAACTTGGAATCTACATGATCAGATATTAGTGAACTTGATTTGGGAATTTTTTATTTTGCCAGCTGAAAGAAAATAACTGAAGTGAGAAATTGGATCAAAAGTCCCGTGTCTTGAGTTTAGTTACTAGTGCTGGTTAGTAATAGAATTCAAAAATTACAACCGATTTCACTAAAATGATGTTTGCTCGAAAGCTCCAGAGCTGATATCTTGGAAATGGAAATGTTTATACACCATTCATTTGAAGTCATCTTAAATATAGATCAATTCACTTTATGTACAATATTAGGATCCTAATGATGGACAGCGGCAAGCAACGTAATCCAGGACGCGCGTTTCTTCGTGTCCTGTGCTCGTCATATGGATGTATCTGCCTCCCAGTGAGCGATGTTGTTCTCACCAAGACTCAGACCCGAGACTGATCGCTTCAAACGCCAGGGCGTTAGTCACTAGATGAGAAGATATGAGCAGGTATATCTGTTTGACGAATCCCAAAGAGAACGAAACGTGCGTCCTGGGTTCCACTGCTAGCCACTATTGATCAATAACATACAATTCAAACGCAGGCAATATCAAGGGATCCGTGAAGGAGCTCATATGCCAATAGAGACCGATCACTTCAGTTCAATAAATGACGGGATGATGCAAATAACAAAATTAGTGGTGGAGAATATTTGTAGCTCAGGTGGATGTTCTTGGTTGCTTTGTATTCTCTGAGCTGGATTGTTTAATTGTAGACCTTTCATCGTCTTTCCAAATAGTATCATCACAAACAACTTCAATATGAAGTGAGCTATCAGTTTCTTTTCGTGAGTGATTCACTTGACGAAAAGAGAGAGAGGTTTACGGCTCACTTCATATGGAAGGTAGTGCTGACAATGTCATCTAGAAAGACGATGAAAGCCCCACAATTAAACACCCCAGCCCAGAGCATACAACGAAGAATAACATTAAGATTAGGATCCTCCTGCAGATCTTTAAATGGCTTTTGAAGAAACATTAAGGCATTACGTGCTTTATGTAGGTGGGCACTAAAAAACACCTCACCAAAGTTGAATATCTCATGAAATAAGAGTAATGAAACTTTAGTTATAGAGCACACTGTTCGAAACTTACGCATTCATTACAAAGAATTCAATAATAACATTAGACGGTTGGTGATTTTATATAAGTTTAAAACTTGGGCACTGTGGGAGAATGTAATTCCTTATTAGATTTATTTATTCAATTTACAATACACAGTGATACAGTATTATTTGCTCGAAACGTCATGAAGCAAATAATACTGTATCACTGTGTTAAAAATCGAATAAACAAATCTAATATGAAATCCCTGATTTCAGCACAACATGAAGTATGTCATTCATATACAGGTTGGTGGGTTTGAGGAAGTACATAACATAAATTCCCGCATTTTCAATGATTATCTAAAATCATATCGCCTCAGAAAATGTATGCTGAGATGCTGAGTCACTAAACTTGATTATGTAAGACGATCGACAGGATGGGATCAACGAAATATAACTTTGCTTACAGTTTGTCTAGCCGAAGATCAGTTTACTTAGGACTGCTTATGTAATCATTAAGTCAAGCATTGGTTACATGCATAAAAATCACACTCCTCACTGATTTATTTCATCAACAGGATAAGAGGTAGTTTGAAAATGATGTTAGAGTTTCCTTGATATTCTAAATACTATCACTTTAATGTATATTGACTTACTTTGATGCATCTTATCTCTTGAAATTTTTTAGGCAAGAGCGAAATACGATAAAGATCCCCAACTCAACTAAAGTGGTATGAAGACCAGAAAACGCATTCTTGTGAGTAATGAAGCTATGAAGCCTTTTTCCAGTTAGCCATAGTAAACTACTCTTATTTCAGATAGTTGAAAGCAATCAGTGAGAGGCTATAGAACTGAATCTCACTCTTGTTGGCACTATTCAGCAAGAGATTCAAAACTGTGTCACCTAATGTGACAGTCAGAGACCTTACCACTGAGCTATTCAGGTCTGAAATGACCTCTTATAAGACTGATTGGATTAGAAATCTCGATTGGTCTGAGGACAGCAGCCAATTCTATACTGCCTAATCCTGAGTCCTGATAGAATCCTATCAGTAATTTTGTAATAAGATAACCAGTCACACAGGAGGTCAGTCATGGACTCAGTAGCTCAGTGGTAATAGGAAATAATTAGTCTACGAACTGTAACAGAATGTTTTTGCAAAGATTTGCTTGAAAATTCTTCATTGTTATCCAAAATGTTTTGCTATCCACGCGACGACATTTGATTAAATTACCCGAATTACTTAAGAGGTGGATAAAACAGCTTACCACAGCAGACAAGAAAATATGCGGTCCAATTATCGTTCTTTATTATTTTACTTCTGGCACTTCGGTCAAAATAATAGCATTCAGGTGGATCTGTCTGAAAAATAAACAAGAATACTAGAATTTATAATATTGCCTTCAATCAAAATACAGATAAATTTCAAATATCGAAATAATCCCTTTTGAGGATAGGAAAACACAAAAGATTTCACGGAAGAAGTATTTTTCTTTTCAACAAATTCATTCTCTTACCTGTCCATTCATGAATGTATAAAAAAAGGATAGAACGCGTAAGAGTAATTCCTGACCAAGGATCATTATCAATTCCATCACAAAGGGAAGTTACGTAGTGAGGAAATAGACGAAATGACTGCAAGACAAAAATGATTGCGTCATATGTGGGTTATTTAGTGTGATCGATAGCCTACGGCAGCCATGGCGAAGAAAGACGTTATACATATTTCTTGCGCACACATAATGATGGTTTGAATTTTTAAATCACTAATACTTCAGTTATCCTCGAATGTCTTAGCCTCACTCTTTTCAAGTAGTTTAGTCGGACTTTGAACACAATTTTGAAGGACTTATCAAAAGGGACCGAATATTCTGTTACAGAGCTAAAGATGCATTTCCTTTTTCCCCTTGTCAGCGAAGTTGGATAATGTTAGCGAGCGCGTTGCATAAGCTGATGCATGTTACGGCCTATGTGCTCGGCTCTACAGGAGCACACAAACTGGTATACGCAAACTGATGTAACCCAACGCCCTAAATGGGTTTCTGACAGGAGAATATGATTTTTACACTGGTGGCAAACAACGTTCCACTTATGGAGTATGACAAATTTCAATTATGATATTTTATGCTGACGCCATTCTGTATCTTCAGATTAGAACCTGAATACTATGGTAGATAATACTCTCATCTTAGATCCCATAATTTTTGATACAACATAGAGTGAAGGAGCGGGACAGAACGTTTTACAGTACTACTGTATCTCACGTGTTACTTAATATCACCATGATCTGATTACAGGTAATAAGTTGCACACAAGGTGTCATTCAGTGAACAATGTTGTATTGCCAAGTTCTAGATCAGAATCAATTGACACTATAACATTTTTTGGACATAAAATGCAGTCCAACAGCGGTTAACCACAATTTCTATGAGCTCAACATAAAGTTTTTAATTATGTTTACTTCCAAGCACATTTTATCGAAATATAATCCGAAGATACATAATTAAGCACTCGTTCAACGAGTGTATATGTTCACAAAAGTTGATCCCTTCGATCAAGCGATGTAGACTGTGGAAAGTGAAACTTTTAAACGATCCTTTCATTAAAGATTTTAAGAAACAATAAATGACGTTTTCCTAAGTATTGAACACATATTTCGGTGATACGGAACAAGAAGCATGAACTTTTACTACTAAATATTCAACATGATACTGATTCTTTAGTCTATTTAGTTGCTTGTAGCTTTCTGTTTCTATGAGTAAACTGAGTAAAGCATGAATAAAGATAGCTGAGTTTCACCTAATAAACATGTGATCACCAATTTTGTAGGTTAAACAGTATCTATCCTTTATTAGTACTTGAATTAAAGATAAAATTTTAGTAAACATTGCACGAAGCATAATAGCAATCAACTGTCCAATACAGTACAGTGAACGTAACTACCCATGGACTATGATTAGAGTAAGCGAAATGAAATTGAGATTTATTGTTCAGTTTTAGATAGCAAAATACCTACGCAGTTGATCCTCACAGTACAGTCAGTTTACAAGTCCTAAACAGAACTAAGTACGAGTCCTGCACTCCATCGCTAGTCACCACCAAGTGAATAAAATCAGAATGAAGCTGGGGGTGTTATCAAGCCATCTGTTCAGTGAGCCGGAGGAAACCGCTCAGTCCCTTCCAGTATAATGATCAATGAAAAATTATCAAGGTCAACAAACGATAGCATTATAAGAAGCAAGAAAATGGGAACTATTGAATTCTGGCTCAATGATAACTTACTTGCCGCGGAGCCTGAAGGTCCTGGGTTTGATCCCTGGTGAGGTGGAGTCATGGGTGTGTACTGCTGAGAAGTCCTACACTAAACCGAAGCAGCTACTCAGTGCTCTCAGGATCTCAATCGTCCTCTAACTGACGTCAGTTTGTGATGAACACCAACTTGGAATCAATGGCATTGACTGTTGATATACTGACAAAATTGATAATTGTACTACCATCAATTTGTTATTTGCTTGTGGTTCCGGCGGAAACAATGAAAACACATGCACCGACAACAGCGGACAGGCTCACACCATTGTTGCAGAAGGTTTGGAAGGAAGGAAAGGTACCTGCAGATTGATTGGAGGAAGGACTACCTTGTCAAACTCCGAAGGAAGGGCGACCCAAGTTTTTGCAAGAACTGGTGCGGAATCATGCTGCTGCCCACCCCAAGCAAATTATTATTCAGCAGCATCCTGGAGAGACTAGACAATGCTCTGGATTCAAACTTACGACCGGAACAGGCTGGCTGGTTTGATTCAGGAAGAACAAATCACATGTGGATCAAATTGCAACGCTTCGCTACGCATCATCATAGAACAGAGCATAGAATGGCAGTCAACTCTCTACCTCAACTTCATCGACTTTGAAAAAGCAGGCCTTCGACAGCATCGACCGAGAAGTAATTTGGTAGACAACTGCTTCAACACTACGGTTTTAGTGTCACAAACCTTTATTAACCTCATTCAACAGCTGTATGAAGACACAACATGCCAAGTGATTCACAATGGAAAGCTGGGCTCAGTGACGCCTTTGAAGTGAAGATAGGAAGGAGTGAGACAAGGTTGCCTACTATCACCGATCATCTGATTGTGGTCGAGTGGACTGGACTAGATCATGCAACAAACTGTGAGGAGCGAGGAGACGATCATATACTGGACCGATGAGAAGACCCTAGAAGATTTGGATTTCGCCTATGATGATTTATGTTTAGTGTGTTGTGGCACAAACTCGAAGATCTACAGACGAAAACTAACAAGTTGATAGAAGAGGCAGGTCAGCGAAAACGGGACTTCAAGTGAATGTGGAGAAGATGAAGGTGGTGAAGATACCCAACCAACAACAACAACAACAAGCACCAATCACCATCAACGGGAGAAACCTAAGGGAAGTAGTCTTTTTCACCTACCTAGGCAGCATCGTCTCAACTACAGGCGGGCACATGCACAGATGAGGACGTCAAAACCAGGATCGGAAAAGCGAAACAGGCCTTCACTAATCTGAAATCAGTGTGGAGATCTACTTCACTTGACTGCACTCAGTATAAAGTGTGAACAATATCCGGATTTTCAACAGTAATCCAGTCAAGTCAGTGATTCTATGTGATGGTTGAGAGACTTGGCGCGTTACGAAAGGGATTTCCAACAAACTACAGACATTCAGCAACAGCTGCCTACACTCGACGCTGAAGATCGGATGGTCAGAAGAAATAAGCAAGGAGGGACTCTGGGGACGAACTAACTAAGAACCCATCGACCAACAAGTATGCAAAAGAAAATGGAGATGGATTGAGCACAGACTGAGACCATTAGGGGAGATCACGCGCCAGGCCCTCGAGTGGAATCCAAAGGGGAAACGACGAGTTGGGAGTTCGAGGGTGACATGAAGATCATGTGAGGAAGAAACCAAAGCTTCTGGACAGTCGTGCAGCCAGGTTCAAAAGACGGCAGAGAACATAGTGCAATGGAGACGTACTACTGAAGCCCTATATTCCAGTAGGAACCCAAGGCATGAATAATAATATAATAATATTTTAGTTTTTGACCTTATAATTCTGTAGGCGAATATTTTGGTAGAAATCATTGTTATTCGGTGGAACTTTATCTACGACACCAAAAGCCCAAAACTTGAGAAATAGAGTGCATAAACCACTTGAACCTTATGAAGTTGATTAAGATGTTTTATAAAAGTAACTTGAACTTATGCCTCCTAATTTCTTGCCATAATATACGTCTAGTATACTGATTTTAATGGAATGACTTCACTGATGTATCAAGTAGTTGTAGTTATCCTTTTGCTCCATTACATGTTAGCGCTTTTATCCATTTTTTCATTTCCAAAGATTCATTTGTGCAGTCTTCTGTTTCAACTTTCGAACTCTTTTATATAATACCGTTATGCGGCACAATTGAATCATCCTTTCTTATTCAATACTTTCATAAAAACGTTTTCGTATCTCATCACGGAATTAGGATTTTTCTTCAGGTTTAAAATGAAATTCACACCAGCTTGGCATCACTCTGAATATTAATGAATGTTTTTCTGATGATAATCAGAGTTTGGGAGGGTATGAATGCTGGCAATTTAGCCAAAGAGAATGAAATGATTCATGATTTATTGTGGGTGACTATTCTGTCAAACTTCATTATCCAAATAGTTAGAAAAAATTTTATAAAAAACGAGAAAAGTAAAAACAGATTACACAAGTGTACATTTGGGCTTTTCGCATTCACTCACTCACCTGGTACGATACTAGAAATCCATGGCATAAAGACATATTTTCGCATGAAGATTCACATAGCCTGATATCAGATGTAATGTTAACTGTAAATAATCGTTCAGTTCTCACTCCAATAGTATAATTCCATTTAACGTAGTTTATTGTACAACTCATTCTACCACGGTTTAAAAAGCACTTATTTGTGGGTATGTGCGGTGTTATATGAGTTAAAACAAGATTGCTTAGGAAAGTAAGCGTGTAAAAAGTGAAAAGACAAGATTTTATCATCTTAATCTTTAACTCCATATAATATGGTCAAGTTGAACCACTACTTAATTCGCTAAATGTGTTTGTTTGGCTTGAAAAATAAAACAGAATAAGTAATACAATACAATCAGTCAGCCAATGAAACAAACTATCCTGAATATTTACTCATTGCCAATCACCTATAAGCAAAGACATACTCAGTAGTAAAACCGTACTTAAACGGTAGTTCAGTGTAAACCCACATTACTGAAATGCTAACAGGTTCATACACAATTTCTAAAATATTCTTCAGCTCCGGTGTAATTTTTCAGCACCGGAATACGCTTATTAGATCACAGAGGAAGACAAAAAGAGTGTTGGTAGCGAAAAAATTTCCTTTTCAATGTTTTTCAACGTAGATTACAAAGCGTAGAAAGTCACAGAATAGTTTCCAGTCAGGGTCAAAAATATGTTGAAAAACGGAAGGGATTTACTTAATACAAATGAGGATTTAGAGTGGGAAAATAAACGAGTATAATTACGTAATATAAGATTTATCTAGGATAGTTAAAGCTTTAAGATAATCATGGTAAAGGTAAAGGATGAACGTATATTTGATTTGAATGTCTGGACGGCTCGTGCTTCAGCTATGTCCGAACGCCTTGGTCTTGCTCCCTTTGAGTGGCTTGAAAGAACCCTGTAGAGGATTTTGAGAGTTCTCAAGGATTCACAAGCTGGATTCACAAGCTGTTCTGCTTTTGTCATGACGAAGTTTTGTTCTTAGTAGATCGATAAAATATTACATGAATGTCGAAATATCTCACAGTAATTTAGGTTAGTTATTTCACTATCTAATCCTTTTCTTTTGTGTGCGATTGCATAGATTCCTACGTAGATTATATATTTCTTAAGGCAAGGTAGCTTCAATCCCCACCTATTCATTCACTGTAATAACTCCAGTAACTGTTTCGTCTGAAAGTGTTTTTCTGGGAGTGAATTTGCTTAAAAATTACATGCTGAGACTTCCACACTGTCAAACATATTGTTTGGAATAAAGCTATCATTACTATTATTATTACTGAAAAAATATTATTACAAGACATATGTGTTGCATATCATTAGGATGAAGCATGAGAGCAGAATGGGCATTAGCAAATTGACAAGATGCACAAGTGGATGCATTGTCTTCGCAATAACAAAAAATCCAGGACTTGTATATAATCAACACATGTAGTGTTGTCTGCAGAAAAATAAAGCTTGAGGCCAGTACTCTATTGTTGCATCTCGTAAATTTTCTTCAAGAATAATGATGAAAAGTTCGTGAATGAATATTTGCATGCTGTCTGCTATTTATTATTGTTTATTGATAGCAGGACTAGATAGTTCGCTTATTCTCGCACCAGTTCACTTTCAAAGTTCATGACGTTGCCTAACACTAGGACGGTGAACCAATTATCCTGCATTTCTCCACCCCAGCATCAAAATATATGAGGTTTCCTTGAACTAATCAAGTGAGCTTCCAAGAAACATTGTTCACCATTTTCGCGGGTCGTGACAACATGTAGCCACTAGATGTGAGACTTTCCTGATCACCTCCGTGATCAACAAATCCCATGTTTAGACAATTACGAAGTTGTAGTCCTAAGAATATGAATCGATTCCGGCTGCTGTAGTTAGCTGCTACGAATGTGATAACACATCGACCAGTGGCGCCGTAGCACCACATACTTCCTCAAATTCAATAGCATAGGGTTTGGCGAGATTCAGCATTGATGCTGACCTTCATGGTTCTACTGAACTCGATAGGCTGAAGGCACACAACCAAGCATGCAGGCCATTTGCCACGCTGCCGTGCTACGTTGCACTGCTCGTAATCGATCCTCTAGCCAGGTCATCGGAATGCATCGGTATTTTGGTACGATCTCGCAAATATACTATTCCGTCTGACTACGCTATCGTATTTTTCCTTGGTCTCGTATTCGTGGGTATATTACAAGTGTGAATAATTAGTGATTGGCCTCTGCTTCGTCAAGTTCTACAAGTACAGTCTCTTAATTGCTGAGCCCGTTCCTTTTCATACCTGCCAATCTTTCTCATTCTGATAACCTTTACATATCCATACATAACTCCATTCCATCTCGACCATAACGCAAAACCTATTTGTATTGAAACGACTACGAACACTATCCGGCTTGTGCCATACTGACCAGGCGATGCAAAACGTGGTTTCTGTATTCCGAGGCAGATTTCTGAGAACAGGGAGTCGCAGATCCTCAGTCTCGATTCATGCTGTCATGCGTCCATTGCTGCCGGAGTTGAACAAGTACATCACAGTGCATATGTTTGGTCCTAAAGTAAGCGATCCCTATGCACTTCTCAAATCTGCACTTCTGGGGAAAAGTGACCTCACAGATCGCGAGCGCTTAGACGAAATGCTTCGTAACGTCAAGCTAGGGAACAACTCAGCTACTGATGTCCTCACATGCATCCGAGAAGTTATTTGCCAACGAACGTTTGATAACGGTCTTTGTCGAAAACCGTTTCTCTCGAAACCGGTGCAAATAGTGTTAGTGACACTTCAGTTAGTTTCAATGGATGACTTCGCAGCCTCAGTAAACAGAATAGTGGAAAGTTCGAAGGACTTGTCTCCAACGTATATCAGGTCTAGGAAGAACCTGAGAGTCGGGATTCAGAAGTGTCAGAATTATGCAGCTCCGTTAAAAATCATCTACGAACCCGAGACCCTGGGTCACGTATTGCAGCAGAGAAACGCGACTCAGCCTATCACAGCACTTTATGTGGCCATCCGCAAACTAAAACTTGAAGGATGGGAAACCCTAATTGGTGCTGGTTTCACAACGCTAATTGTGATGAAGCCAGAAATTGTCAAAAATCATGCAATTTCAACAAAGTTACAAACTCGGGAGACTGCCCTGCCTGTACGCGTTTAACGGCAACCTAGTCAGTGGGAAGAGCTGCCTGTTGTACATCACCGATGTAAAGAGGGGAGTTCTCTACCTCGTCAACACTGGGGCAGAAGTCAGCGTTCTTCCCACAAAGATGAAGAAACGTCATCATGACATGTCCTTTGATTTACAAGCACCTAACGGCAAGGCCATCGCAACCTCTGGGAGAGAGTATACCAGCCTTCACTCAGGTTTGCGCATGCCCATTTACTGCATTTTTCTTCTAGGTGATGTTTCGATGTCCACCATCGACGTAGATTCGCCAAAACACTACGATCAACTCGCAGATGACGACTGGTAGATAAGAACATGAAGTTATCTACTGGCGGTACAATCTACGTAGGTCTCAGTTTAGCCATTACTCGAACTGAACACTCAGACGACGCGCCCTATCAGGCAGTTCTGGAAAAACACTCAGTTGTGGCAACCGACACAATCCGCCGCGCATAACCAGCAATGTTTTGAATCACCTCACAACCATATGTTCATCTGTGAAATCCAAAGCACGCCATCCAGCTCCTGATAAGCACAGAACGGCGAAAAGCGAATTTGATCGCGTGCTCCAGCTAGATATTATGAAACCGTCAAACAGTCTTTATGTATCACTACTGTATATGGTTCCCTAAAAGCACAGCAATTACTAGCTTCCCACCGGTGATTAGCGACAGCCCAATCCCAAACAACACATGACTGCTACCCGATACCTCACACCTACAAATTGACTGCGACTTTATGCAGAATGAATATATCCTCCGAAATCGACCTAGTCAAAGCGAACGATCAGATACTAATGGCAGCAGAAGATAGCACGAAAACCGTCATTATTACTCCTTTTACACTTTTTGAATTCCTCCGCATCCCTTTTGATCATTGAGGTGCAGCACAAACAACCCAATGCTCTATGAATTATGTCTTTCGTGGTTTGGATTTTGTCCATGTCTACATCGGCGACTGTCTCATTGTGAGTCCAGATAAGGAAACTCACCTCAAACATTTGGATCTCGCATTCGGCAGATTAAGAAAGCATTGTATCACAGTCAACGTGCAGAAGTGTGAGACAAGAGTCGAATCGCTAACCCTCCTTGGGTATATCATCGACAACGAAGGTACATGCCCGTTGACAGATAAAGTAGCGGCTATCATGAACTACCCAGAGCAGACCACTTCAGAGCAACTTTGTACTTTCAACGGCCTCTGTTATGAGGCCACTTGCAGATGCACTTCGAGAGACTACCGAGTGCGTGCCTCTGGACAAAGCGGCTGGACTGGCTTTCTCTAGGTTCAAGGAAATCATCGTAAATGCAGTCATGTTTACGAATCACAACCCAAAGCTCCTTTGGGCATTGCTGTTGATGCATCTGACTCAGCAATTGTAGCAGTTTTGCAGCGGCCGACTGACAGCTAGTGACAGACTATAGCCTTTTTCTTGGGGCGGAAACAAGGTATAGTACATTCGATAGGGAACTTCTAGCTATGTACTGTTCTGTACGCCATTATCCACATTCGGTTGCAGGTTGGAGGCTCTGCCTCTAGTCCTACTGCATGTTCGGAACTGTTCGAAAGCTGATGATGGATGCACTTCCGCAGAACTCCTTTATGGGACTACCCTACGCCCACCAGGTGAGTTCGTTTCCCTTCAACTTTCACAAGTGTTTTCGATAGGACATCTAACGTGACTGGGCTAACGAACGCAACGCGTCAGTTAGGCTAGCTCTTGCTCCGGTTTACAAAAGACATCACACGTTTTCACACGCCTCGATGCCGTTCGTCGACCTCATGAACCACCTTACGATGAGCCATTCGAAGTCGTCAAGCGGATTGAGAAATCATTTATGATCAAGCCAAACGGACGTGGAGATACCGTTAGCATCGACCGTTCAAAACCACCTTACTCTTAAGGTAACCTCACCATAGGTGACATTTCTGCTCACTATGGTCGACTGGCAGATAACCCAATAATCAAAGTTCTTGACGATGTGCCTG